ATATATACGTGTGTGTGTGTGTGTGTGTGTGTGTGTATCAGTAGTCGGATTGCTGGATGAAATGGTAGTCCTACTTTTAGTTCTTTAAGCAATCTCCACACTGATTTCCATACTGGTTGTGCTAGTTTACATTCCTACCAGCAGTGTAGAAGTGTTCCCTGTTCACTGCATCCATGCCAACATCTATTGTTTATTTATTTTTTGATAATGGCCATTCTTGCAGGAGTAAGGTGGTATCATGTTGTGGTTTTCGTATGCATTTCCCTGATCATTAGTAATGTTGAGCACTTTTTCATATGTTTGTTGGCCATCTGTATATCTTCTTTTGAGAATTTGTCTATATGTATATGTTTGTTGGCCATTTGTATATCTTCTATTGAGAATTGTCTATTCAGGTCCTTAGCCCACTTTTTGATGGGATTGTTTGTTCTTTTCTTGCTGATTTGTTTGAGTTTGTTGTAGATTCTGGATATGAGGCCTTTGTCAGATATACAGATTGTGAAGATTTTCTCCCACTCTGTGAGTTGTCTGTTTACTCTGCTGACTGTTCCTTTGCCGTACAAAAGCCCTTTAGTTTAATTAGATCCCAGCTATTTATCTTTGTTTTCAATTGCATTTGCTTTTGGGTTCTTGGTCATGAAATTCTCGCCTAAGCCAATGTCTAGAAGGGTTGTTCCAATGTTATCTTCTAGAATTTTTACAGTTTCAGGTCTTAGATTTAAGTTTTTAATCCATCTTGAGTTGATTTTTGTTTAAGGTGAGAGATGAGGATCCAGTTTCATTCTCCTACATGTGGCTAGCCAATTATCCCAGAACCATTTGTTGAAAAGGGTGTCCTTTCCCCACTTTATGTTTTTGTTTGCTTTGTCAAAGATCAGTTGGCTGTAAGTATTTGGGTTTATTTCTGGGTTCTCTATTCTGTTCCATTGGTCTATGTGCCTATTTTTATACCAGTACCATGCTGTTTTGGTGACTATGGATTTATAGCATAGTTTGAAATCAGGTAGTGTGATGCCTCCAGATTTGTTCTTTTTGCTTAGTCCTGCTTTGGCTATGCAGGCTCTCTTTTAGTTCCATATGAATTTTAGAATTGTTTTTTTAAATTCTGTGAAGAATAATGGTATTTTGATGGGAATTGCATGGAATTTGTAGATTGCTTTTGGAAATATGGTCATTTTCACAATGTTGATTCTACTAATCCATGAGTATGGGATATGTTTCTATTTATTTGTGTCATCTATGATTTCTTTCAGCAGTGTTTCATAGTTTTCCTTGTACTTTGACTCCTTGGTTAGGTATATTCCTAAGTATTTTATTTATTTATTTTTGCAGCTATTGTAAAAGGGGTCAAGTTCTTGATTTGATTCTCTGCTTGGTTGCTATTGGTGTATAGAAGGGCTACTGATTTGTGCACATTAATCTTGTATCTGGAAACTTTGCTGAATTCTTTTATCAGTTCTAGAAGCTTTCTGGAAGAGTCCTTAGGGTTTTCGAGGTAAACAATCATATCATCAGCAAACAGTGACAGTTTGACTTCCTCTTTACCAATTTGGATGCCCTTTATTTCTTTCTTTTGTCTGATTGCTCTGGCTAGGACTTTCAGTACAATGTTGAAGAGGAGTAGTGAGAGTGGGCATCCTTGTCTTGTTCCAGTTCTCAGAGGGAATGCTTTCCACTTTTCCCCATTCAGTATTAGTTGGCTGTGGGCTTGTCATAGATGGCTTGTATTATACTGAGGCGTATCCCTTGTATGCCAATTTTGTTGAGAGGTTTAATCATAAAGGGGTGCCGGATTTTGTTGAATGCTTTTTCTGCATCTATTGAGATGATCATGTGATTCTTATTTTTAATTCTGTTTATGTGGGGTATCACATGTATTGACTTGCGTATGTTAAACCATCCCTGGATCCCTGCTCTAAAACCCAATTGATCATAGTGGATTATCTTATTGCTACGTTGTTGGATACAGTTAGCTAGTATTTTGTTAAGGATTTCAGTATCTATGTTTATCAAGGACATTGGTCAGTAGTTTTCTTTTTTGGATATGTCCTTTCTCGGTTTTGAAAATAGGGTAATGCTGGCTTCATAGAATGAATTAAGGAGGGTTCTTTCTCCGTCTTGTGGAATAGTATCAAAATTCTTGGCACCAATTCCTCTTTGAATGTGTGGTAGAATTCTGCTATGAATCCATCTGGTCCTGGACTTTTTTTTTGTTAGTAATTTTCTAATTACCATTTCAATCTCACTGCTTGTTATCGGTCTGTTCAGGCAATCTAATTCTTCCTGATTTAGCTAGGAAGGTTGTATTTTTGCAGGAATTTATGCATCTCTTCTAGGTTTTCTACTTTATGTGCATAAAGATGTTCATAATAGGCTTAAATGATCTTTTGTATTTCAGTGGTGACAGTTGTAATATTTCGTGTTTCATTTTTTAGTGAGGTTATTGGATTTTCTCCCTTCTTTTCTTGGCTAATCTTGTTAATGGTCTATCAATTTTATTTATCCCTTCAAAGAACCAGCTTTTTGTTTTATTTATTTTTCGGGTTTTCTTTGTTTGTTTGCTTGCTTGCTTGTTTGTTTCAATTTCACTTAATTCTGCTCTAATCTTGTTTATTTCCTTTGTTCTGCTGGGTTTGGGTTTAGTTTGTTCTTGTTTCTCTAGTCCCTTGAGGTGTGACCTTGGAATGTCAGCTTGTGTTCTTTCAGTCTTTTTGATGTAGGTGTTTAGAGCTATGAACTTTCCTCTTAGCACTGCCTTTGCTGTATCCCAGAGGTTTGGTAGGTTGTGTAATTATTGTCATTCAGTTCGAAGAATTTTTAAATTTCTATCTTGATTTCGTTTTTGACCCAATGCTCATTCAAGAGCAGGCTTACTTAATTTCCATATATTTGCATGGTTTTGAAGGTTCTTTTTGGAGTCAATTTCCAGTTTTATGCCACTGTGGTCTGACAGAGTGCTTGATATAATTTCAATTTTCTTCAATTTATTGAGGCCCATTTTATGGTCTGTTGTATGGTCCATCTTGGAGAAGGTTCTATGCACTGTTGAACAGAATGTGTATTCTGTGGTTGTTGGATGGAATATTCTGTATATATCTGTTAAGTCCACTTGTTCCAAGGTGTAGTTTAAATCCCTTGTTTCTTTGTTGACTTTCAGTCTTGATGACCTGCCTAGGGCTGTCAGTGGAGTATTGAAGTCCCCTACTATCAATGTGTTGCTGTCTATTTCACTTCTTAGGTCTCATAGTAATTGTTTTATAAATTTGGGAGCTCCAGTGTTAGGTGCATTTATGTTTACGATTGTGATATCTTCCTGTTGGACAAGGCCTTTTACCAGCATATAATGTCCCTCTTTGTCTCTTTTAACTGCTGTTGCTTTAAAGTTTTTTTGTTTTGTTTTGTTTTTGTCTGATATAAGAATGGCTACTCCCGCTTGCTTTTGATGTCCATTTGCATGAAATTATTTTTCCACCCCTTCACTTTAAGTTTATGTGAGTCCTTATGTTTTAGGTGAGCCTCCCAAAGGCAACAGATAGTTGGTTGGTGAGTTGTTATCCATTCTGTGGTTTTGTATCTTTTAGGTGGAGCATTAAGGCCATTTACATTCAATGTTAGTATTGAAATGTGAGGTACTGTTGCATTCATCATGCTCTTTTTGCCTGTGTACTTTGGTTTTTTTGTTTTTGCTTTTTTAGCTTTTTCATTTGTTTGTTTTATAGGTCCTGTGTAATTTATGCCTTAAAGAGGTTCTGTTTTGATGTGTTTCCAAGTTTTGGCTCTAAGATTTGGAGCTCCTTTTAACAGTTCTTGTAGTGGTGGCTTGGTAATGACGAATTTGCTCGGCATTTGTTTGCCTGAAAATGACTGTATCTTTTCCTTGATATATGATGCTTAGTTTGGCTAGATACAAAATTCTTGGCTGATAATTGTTTTGTCTGAAGAGGCTGAAGATAGTGCCCCAATCCCTTCCAGTTTGTCTGCTGAGAAATCTGCTGTTAATATAATAGCTTTTCCTTTATAGGTTACCTGGTGATTTTGTCTCACAGGTCTTAAGATTTTTTGCTTCATCTTAACTTTGGATAACCTGATGACAATGTACCTAGGCAAAGATCTTTTTGTGATGAATTTCCCAGATGTTCTTTGTGCTTCTTGTGTTTAGATATCTAGGACTCTAGCAAAGCCAAGGAAGTTTTCCTCAATTATTCCCCCAAATATTTCCAAGCTTTTAGAATTCTCTTTTTCCTCAGGAACACCAATTATTCTTAGGTTTAGTTGTTTAACATAATTCCAGACTTCTTGGAGGCTTTGTTCATATTTTCCTATTCTTTTTTGTCTTTGTTGGATTGGGTTAATTCAAAGACCTTGTCTTCGAGCTCCGAATTTCTTTCTTCTACTTGTTCAATTCTATTGCTGAGATTTTACAGAGCATTTTGCATTTCTAAAAGTATGTCCAAAGTCTCCTGAATTTTTTATTGTTTTTTTCTTCAAGCTATCTATTTCCTTGAATATTTCTCCCTTCACTTCTTGTCTCATTTTTTGGATTTCCTTGCATGGGGCTTCGCCTTCTCTCGTCTCTCCCTGAGTAGCTTAATGACTAACCTCCTGAATTCTTTTTCAGGTAAACCAGGGATTTCTTCTTGGTTTGGAGCCATTGCTGGTGAACTAGTGTGATTTTGGGGGGGTGTTGAAGAGCTTTGTTTTGTCATATTATCAGGGTTGGTGTTCTGGTTCCTTCTCATTTAGCTAGGCTCTGTCAGAGGAAAGGTCTAGGGCTGAAAACTGTTGTTCAGATTCTTTTGTCCCTTGGGGTGTTCCCTTGATGTAATACTCTGCCCCTTTTCCTATGGACGCGGTTTCCTGAGAGTCTAGTTGTAGTGATTGTTATCTCTCTTCTGGATCTAGCCACTGAGCAAGTCTACTAGGTTCTGGGCTTGTACTGGGGGTTGTCTATACAGAGTCCTGTGATGTGAACCATCTGTGGGTCTCTCAGCCATGCATACCATGGTATTTGGGATGTCTCCCGGGTCCTGCAGGAGCAATCTGCTTCCTTCAGAGGGTCTGTGGGTCCTCTTGGATTTCCTTATTCCTGTAGTTGTTCTGGAGCAAAAATTCACAATGTGAGCCTCTGCATGCTACTCTGTCCATTGTATTTAACTTTCAATTGTTCAAAAGTTAGTTACAAAAGCTACTTGGGATGACCAAACAGTTCAAACTTTTAAAATATTACTTCTCAAGTTTCTTAATTGTTATAAAATCCAAATCTTATAAATTGTTATGACTGAAAGGGGGAGATGAATAACATTTTACAAAACAGTAATTTATGGGCTAATTGATCCACCCATCATTTATATGGGTTTCCTGATTGTTACTCCTATCACATTTCACTCCATTTTAATTTAGCTTATAGATCACACTATGCCTGCCTTATTTACTATCATATTGCCAGAGTCTAACACAATACCTCACTACTTATAGGTGCACAACAAATTAGTTATAGATCAATGAATAAATGAATTTCTTTCAGATTATTCAGAAACTCATTCTTTTAAAAATATTTAGCAGTCTACCAATGCTTATTCAATTAAATCCAGACTCCTCAACATAATCATTCATAGCTCTCTATAACCTGCTCAACCTAATGTTTTTCATATTCTTTCCTATATGCCAAATACATTATATAAATTGAAATATATTTTATTCCCTAAATACGACGCTCATTCTCTCATCTCCTTTGGCTTCTTACGCCAGTGGGTGAAACACTCCCAACCACCTCTAGTTTTGCCTTCATCAAGTTATTTTGAAATTTCATCTACTCTTCAATGTCCATAAGATATGCTACATTTTCAAGAAACTTTTCCTGATCTCTCCAACTATATTTCTTTTGTTACCCTTAATACACACATTTGTTTTTAATGTTCTTAAGATACAAATAATATGCCATTTACCATGTTGTTTGATATTTGTCTCATTCCATATTTTTCTTAGTCTTTAAGTTCCTATAATATGGTCATTTTATTTTAACTTCATATAACTAAAGCACTTGGCATAATTCTTTCCATAAAGGTAGTGGTCGAAAATATTAGGCTGAATTATGTGAAAACACTGTTCAAAAACTATTTTCTAATAACAATTGCTAAGAAAATACAAACCTAAGAATAAATGACCCAATAATCCAAAGTAATTATAAAAGTTGTAAGATGAAAATAAGCATAATATGTTGAAAGAGAGATAAAAGATCTTTGAAAGAATAAAAATGTTGACTTAGCAATCCCTTTCCATTTGCTAATGAAACTTTTAGAAGAAAAAAACCCCATTACTTAATAACTCAAGCAGTAATAGAAAAAATCATGCTGTGAGAGTAAGACTGAAATTGCCTATAAAACATTTACAAATGTTATTTTCATTATCTCTAAAACAAAATTTAAACAAGCTATACTAAATAAAGGAATAATTTAAATGACTGTGTATTTCTTGAATCTTAAATAACTGATATTGTGTAATTAATTTCTATTTATCTTTTTAAAAATCAGAGACAGGGTCTTGTTCTATCACCCAAACTGGAGTGCAATGGTGCAAGCATAGCTCACTGCAGCCTCGAACTTCTGGACTCAAGAGATCCTCCCACCTCTGCTTCCTGGGTAACCAGAACTATAGGCATGCACCATCATGCCAAGCTAATTTTTTAGCTTTTTGTAGAGATGGGGTCTTGCTATGTTCCTCAGGCTGGTCTCAAACCCCCAGCTTCAATTATCCTCCTGCCACAGTCTCCCAAAATGCTGAGTTCACAGGCATCAGCTACCACACTGGGTATCTAATTATCTTTGCTCTCTAGATGACTTCCTGAGATAGTGTTGATGGTGTATCACAGAAAAAAATGTCAATAATATTGGACTGTGGTTAGGTAAGCAAATTCTCTGGATACTTTTCTTTCTCTAAGAAAATTATACACTCTGTAAGTACTCTAATTACAATTTTGTAATTTACTTTTGGCTCTCACTCTAATCAATATTGGCTACCAAATACGTAAATTGCATCTTTCCCTCTATCTTTTGGAAGGAAACAGGTTGGCTAGCATTTTGGGAAGATATTCCTATACATCTTAAAGGACTGCAGGAAATCTCTTAATCCTTTAGTTCATATCATGAGGAGGTTAATTTTCATCATTTATCAATAAATGTTGATGAACAGCGTAAGTAACTGATAAACTTACAGTCAAACTCCCTGTAATGTGGTAAATCATCAATCTCCTAGCATCATGGGATGATGCAAAATCATCCCTTCAAGGTTTTATGTGAGTAACTCATCAATAGAGAGTCCAGAATTACAATGGCCAACACAAAAGCTTCAAGCATATGTAACTATTTAAATCTAAATTTTATTCATTTAATATGAAAATTAAATAAAGCATTCATTTCTTCACTTGTATTAGCCTACTTTCAAGTGGTCAAAAGCCCCATGTAACTAGTGGCTACAATACTGGACAGTGCAGAATTATATAACATTTCTATCATCAGAGAAAGATCTATTGGACAGTGCTGGTCTAGAAAGCTAATAATTTGATTCAACTCAAACAGTACAGGTGAATTGTTATATTTTATCTATTGAGTCTTATATTTGTTAACTCATGAGCAATAGGAGTAGCTTTGCCATTTCTTTAATATAATTTTCAAATAAATATTTTTTTATGACAGTTGGCACAAACTCCTATACAGTGTACAAGACATGTCAAATTCTTTCGGGCCTCAAGGCTCCTTCTTGGTCTCCTATGACCTTTCTATCAAAAATAGGTCTCTACCACCACCACCTCCACAACAATACACATATTAATTTCTATCTCAGCACCCTGCTTCTTTCATAGGATACTATAATTTTAATTATTTCATTCATTTCTTCACATCTCTTTCATTCATTCATATATCTTCTACTGAAGGAGGATCCTTTGTCTATGTTATTCATAGTCCTGTCCCCAGAGTTTACCTAACATAGGCATGAACTCAAAATTCATTAAATGAGCATATTAATGTTTGTTGAATAAGTGAATATATTTGGACTATGATGTCTTTCCCCTCCATAGCCAACTCATACCTCTTTGGCACTATGCTTTTATATGTATTCCTCCCTTTCTTTTTATTCTAGCTTATGTATCTCCTTTTATACCCCAGCAGACTATCTCAATATTTATTTGTTTTAATTTTGGGAACAGAGGGTAATGAGTAGAAAGAGAATTCCCAACCTAGAAGAAGAAAATATTTTTAGGCGAGCTTTCAGAGAAAATAAACTTATTTTTAGTATTCCATCCTGTCCCCTCAGCAAGTACCAAGAGATCAAAGCACTAACCTCAGCCCCCTCAGTAGACACATGAACCGGTGTGGCATACATAACAAAGAGGATTCAATTAGCCTGGGTATGAAAACAAAGCAAGTATTCAAGGAAAAAAAAATGGACTAAAGGACGGGGAAAAAGAGAAATTTTCCACTTAGCTTCTTGAGCAAAATCTTTTTCTAATCTTGAATATTTGTCACCTAGTGCCAACTACTGTAATTCAGAGAGCAATGCCACTTGAAATACTTTTTACTTATACAGAAAACACAAAATAATCAAAGACAACTGAATTTCACAACTCTGAAAAAAATCATTCAAGAAACCAGCTATTTAAAATACCGTTTAAAAGTTACATACAATTGTAACAAAGGGAGCAGATGATTGAATTATGAAAGTATAATGAGCCAAATATTTAATATATTAAATATATAAGCTATTCAACACATTGGAAGACTTCAAATTTCAGCCTATGTCTACAAAATTTATATAAAGTATAGTTAGTTATCATAAAGGTAACATAGTTCCCTAAGAACAATAAGCTTCAAAATGGTTATCTTAAGGCTACTCAGAAAACTTACTTTGATCCAAAGCAAGCCTAAATGATCATTATGTAATGACTGCACTAAAGAATTTTCACGAGGGGCGGAGCAAGACGGCCGAATAGGAACAGCTCCAGTCTCCAACTCCCAGCGCCAGCGACACAGAAGTTCGGTGATTTCTGCATTTTCGACTGAGGTACTGGGTTCATCTCACTAGGGAGTGCCGGACAATCGGTGCTGGTCAGCTGTTGCAGCCCGACCAGCCAGAGCTGCAGCAGGGCGAGGCATCGCCTCACCTGGGAAGCGCAAGGGGGAAGGGAATCCCTTTTCCTAGCCAGGGGAACTGAGACACACAACAAATCGGGTAACTCCCCCCCAATACTGCGCTTTAAGCAAACAGCACACCAGAATGTATATCCACACCTGCGGGAGGGTCCCCACGCCTAGGAGCCTCCTCATTCTAGCACAGGCCAGTCTTTAGATCCTACC